TAGTCCGCATGACACGGCCCCGCAACTCACACTAAGCGCCGGCCAACAGGCGCACGAAAACGACACAGTCTGTGCTTCGAACGGGACGAATTGAGTTTAAAAGCATTATTTCACGACACAATGCCGCATAATTCGGAGCCGAAGGCCTTGCGCGCATCGACTGGTTGAGTTGTAATCAAAGCTTTCCAAAGATAATTATGTATGAGCTGTGAATGAGTGATTGATTGCTCGAAGTGCATTCATCGAGCTATGAAGTGATATTGCGTCCGAGGCTGGCTTCTGCCTAATTTTACTTGTACCAATGTATTCTATGGGCGCTGTATGACCTACAGCAGTCGATGCGCCCCAAAACTCCAAATCATCATCATCTTCATCATCATCATTGTATTCTGACGCTACTAGACCACAGGATTTATCAGATTTAAGGATCAAGCACAATCATGTTGAGACCGACGGTACGGTTCGTTTCTACGGCTCGACCCCCGCTTTGGACCACGGAATGTACTCACTAGAACGTCGTCTGTCCACGGTGTACCAGTGAATGCGCCTGAGCCAGTTACAGGCTGGCTGCTCTACTCGTAAGCATGTTTGGACTCGCGGTCTTGGGCCACGGGTTGTACTCACTGGTGTACCGTCTGCGTCGGATGGCCGCTGCAGCAGAAGCTCCCCTCTCAAGTCCAGGTGGTTACGACCAGCGCGCCACTGCTTAAAGCTGTCCGCACGTCAATACATGACTGTTTTGCATATTGAAAACAGTGCATCGGGTGTAGCGGGGGTGGTCAAATTGTGCTGAACTTATATTTTGATAAGCATGTGGCACCGGCACTTTAAATGTTTCGATGCTTTGATCGCCATGTACGGACGCGTGACAGCTTTCAAACTATTGCCGACTCTGGTCATTCTGGTCAAACGTGCTCTGTACACCTTGTTGTATGCGGAAGATGGGCGTCCCACCCAGCGGATATCATCGAGAAAATTGGAACCTTTCGGTGTGTTTTTGAGCTGGTTGCAGGCATCTTTTTCAGGAGCAATCCATGCGGATATAAAGCCTTTATCTCTGTCGATTGCAAGTGACAAAAGCATCATATGGTATCATATATATGGACTGCATCAAGCATTCTTTAAGCGCTTATCAGCATGGTAAAACATCCTGAAATGTCTTTAATTAGGTATTTGCAACACGGCTACAGTTTGGAGATCAAGAGTACCACTTTTCGAAAAATCGACCGATGAAGACGCACGCGCGCCTGCAGGGTTCGCAGATTCACTATCAGATCTCCTCTACATCCAGTTATGCCGGGCACTCACACGTGTTTCCTAGCCACGGCACACCTATAATTTTGCTAAGGCTCCTGGATGCGCCTGAAAACTATTTCGAGGGCATCCGGCTGCATGGATCCGGCGGGTTCTCAGCAGCGGCAACGATACCCCGCCCCGCGAGCGTGAGATTCCGATCGGGCCCGGGCGGTTGCGATGTTGCACCTTTTCCGCGAAAGGTGGCGCGGAAATCGCCGTCGCTGAGCACCCGCGTGCTGCTGACATGCGTCTGTGTTGCGAAACGTAGGCTGAGCGAGGTCGCTTGGTCCCGGGGCAGACGACGGAGGCAGAGGCTTCCAGGTCTCTGTCTTGGCGCCAGAGTCATGCACAGCTGCTTCTTGCAGTGACGGAGCTCTTCAGAGTCCTCTAGGGCTTTCTAGGGTTCTCCTACAGTAATAGAAGACTTCTTAAATAGCATGAACTTAAAATGACCCTGTACTTCTATCGTCGAGCGAAAAATCCAGGTGAAGGAAGTCTCCTGAAGCCAGGAGTTTAGTTTTCCTTTAACTGCCGTAAACAGCAAGGAACGTGAATCTTGATCTCAAAAGTTGTTTTCATATCACGAAGGATCCAACGTTGATGAGGGACACAATGTCTGATATCAGAGAGCCGCTCTTTTCCAAAAAGCATGTTCAGCCACTCGAAGTGTCTGATAAAGAAATGTTTCCTGCGTCATTCCCATGCGTCACATAACTTCACAAACGAACCACACAGTAATCTCAGTAACTAAAGCAAAAAAGGTAAATAAGGTAGAAATACAACTTATACTGTTGGAGCTGCAACTTCAGTTGGCTTTACATTGCGCTGGAGCCTCCAATTTTTCACGCCGTGCTCCTGCCGGCGGCTACCGCACTGCTCGACCCGGCGCTACGACCACCAAGATGTAGCTGGATGTAGCAACAACTACCGTCGCAGCTGGATGTAGCTGTGACCACCAAGATGTAGCTGGGTATAGCTGCGACCGCCGTCGAGGCCGGGTGGCCAGCGCGCACTCGTGTACCACCCGGAGGGGCTGTGGTTCTGGCTGAGTAACTCTCGCACTGAAACAGAATCTAGGTAGTGGCTGTTGTGCACGACACGACGCAGGCTGGTCACGACCGCCAGCCGATCGAAAGCGGAAAGCGACCTTGGTTTAGCGGAAACTTCGCTATCAGTGTAGGAAGGCTAACGGAGCCGTTAGAGGCATGGGAGCGTGAGCCTTACTCCGACGTGCTCTCGGTCGTAGCAGCACACATTTTTCGGGCAGATATCAGACGAGCAGTGTGATAAGGTCGACTGATTTCAGAATTAACAACAACTGATTCAAAGTGCCGGCTAACATATCGTTTGAGCGACACCTACCACAGATCCCCTTATCAAAGGTGCCATAGGAAAGATGGCGCCACTGTACCGGGCGGCTGCTGCCAGAATCGGAGACGATGGCAGCTGGCTATTCGGCTGGCGCTGCTATTCACGCACCACGCGGCGGCAGTGGTTTCAGGAACTCCGGGGCAGTAAAAAAATCCTCAGATTTTTTATTCTCGCCACAGCTTTGTTTCCCTCATACGAAAACACAGATAGAACAAAGTTGATCAAACGACGAGAAGATGTCTAACTAAAATGCTGACAGAATGTTATTGGAGCTGGTTAAATGTTCTGTAAAAAACAAATATATAGATAATGTTTTCATCCGAAATGCACCAATACCCATTTTGCTATGCGGCGGTCCATATCACAAGCGTCTACAGTTTATTATGCATATGCTGCACGCATGTGCAGTTGAGACATCCAATGAGTCCGGATAAGCGAAGATTGTATCGCAATGCAAAAGTTTAACTGATGCACGGCTGCATTCTCACGCGCACCAAGATTGTAAATAAATGTGTGCGCTCTTTACAAACGTGGATTATTGTCACATTCCGTTCAACTCGCCAGAGTCGGTGAAGGCCGGCGGCACTTCATGGAAACGGCATAGACCACCCGCTGCCACCTGTTCGGTGCCATTACGATCCCTTCGGTCCCCAGCGTGCCCTCTCCTGGCGGGAGCTACTTCGACTCATGTTGTTGGTGATCGTGGTGTGGTGATGGTGAGCGGTAACCGGGTGAAAGATCGTATGACAATATCGTAAGCAAGAGATCATATCACAAGAGATTCCACGGTAAAGATATGGTGCGGGACAGAAAAAGTAATGTAAAAATGTGGTATGGGATAGAGGTAACATCCATGGAGATGGATTGAGAGGATTTGCACTGGGCAAAGGTCACGATGGAAAACAATGTATGGTATAAATATCGCAAGCCAAAAAAGTATTGCGGACGACGTATTGTCTTTACCATGACGAAGATCGTCATGGCAAAGGTTCGTAAGGGGACAAATATTGCAGAGCATTTCATGTCAGCAACTTAGATTCCCAGGTGCGACTTAACAGGAACACACTTGCAGCAGGCACCGGATCTACAAACGACGGCGCCTACGCCCCCATCATCAGAGCAAAACTGAACGGGCGCCTGGCCGGAGACGAGCGTCGCTAGGATATGTATGCCACCAGGCCGAAGCGTTCAGACCTAAGCTCGACACCCGCGCTCCCGAGACAGCTGCCCAGGCCGTGGCAAAACCCTGCCAGGAATTCTCGGCATGCATGCAGGATTGTAAAGGTTTCTTTCCCCGACACGGGAGTGCCGAATAGCAAACTTTGTTACGCGGTCCAATGTTGAATTTACAGAATAATGCCCACAAGTCCGGCTCGATGGTGGTCCATAACCCTAGGCAGGGAAATGGTTTCGCAGAATGACTTCGGAAGGGAGTGGGGCTGAGGAGATGAAAATAGATAAGCCAATCTCCACAATATGCCAAAATACAGACGGGTTCCTCCCCGAATTCAGCCAAACTTTTTCTCAAATTAAGGGGGATTGGAGCCCCCCACTGAATAGGAAACTACACATCCGGTCCAGGATCGATGATGCATTGTGAGCAGTTTAACGAAATCAGAGCAGAAGATATCATCCAGATTCCGGTCACTTCGCGCAAGTTGAGCGGGGAGAGGGAGGTCTCCAACATCCACAACTGCACATACGTCGAATGCTGCTGCTTTTCCACAGACTTTCATTCATTATCTCCTTAACAGAGTTCAAGGTGTCAGGTCATATAGCGGCGAAACGTCACGCATTACGTGCGTAACGTGTTCCACCATCGCGGCTGACGGTGTGGCGCTAGGTCGGCAGACACGTCCGTACCTGTTTCTCGCAGTCGTCGGGAAACCTAAATCAATCACCGCCGGCCGGCCCTCTTCATCCATCGCCGGCAAGGCTACGCATCCGGAATATTGCCGTTCGGCCCCGGGTCTGCCCATGTGTTCCCACGCCTCCTAACCCACGGCGCTATGAAGGGCGACACCTCAGAACTTCAGAACCAGAATACAGAACAGAGCAGAACTCAGAACTCGAAACAGAACTCAAAACACCTCATAACAGAACATTTCATCAAACCTCGCCCGACTGCGCCACAGGTGAGTCCTATTTTACCCCTTAAAATAGGACTCACCTCTACATAGCATCCACCGAAGCAACAAGCACCTTGATCCACCGCCAACCAAATCCACCAATTCTGCCGTCTTCATGCAGGCGTCATGCACGCCGCCGGTGCTGCGGCTCGTTTGTCGCCCCGGCTGTCGAGCGCAGCGCCCCCAAACACAAACACAAACACAAACAGTCGCGATGTGTATTCTACCGAAGTCGTACAAAATAATGTCATACCGCTGCCACCGTCGAGCGGGAGGCTATCAACTATGACAGAAAGCCAACAGTCCTTGTCTACAAGGGCCTGTCGAGGCCCCTCCACCACTTTGTCGCCAGACCTACGGAGAGGTTACTCCAGTGTCATGGGAGACGGCACACAGCCCGGGCCGCCAATGATCCATGCCGACAATGCCGCCCATCCTGCACCCATCAAAGCCACTTCAAAGGTTCTCGGTGCTCGAGAGACGAGTACGTAATCTCTTCGCCACCACAGGGGCAAGATCTGCGGCCGCTGCTGGTGTCAGCAACGGTGAGTTGTGAGCACGCAGGACGCCCCGTCACTGTCCTGATCGGTGAGCGACACTGCGAACTCTGTATCCCAGCTCAACCACGAAAAGACAAGAGAAGATTCAGAAAGAGGCGCACTTTTCACGTCCCTTGTCATGAGGTCAACAGTGGACGCCTGAGGCGGACGGTATAACCCGCAATGTGCAGCCTAAGCGCGAAGAAACTGACCCCGTTCATAACAATGGCTTAAATGAAACCAATAGTAGCTTATTACTTATTGTGCATGAATTCATACAGCTTAATGCGGATTGTAGATATGCAGTAAGAAGACGTAGTCACGAACAGGCAAACGTCGATATGCAACAAAAAAACAGATATGCAGCATACAGCGTACCAACCGTACCACGGACCGGAGTTTCTATTGCATGAGAGCGTGCCTCGAGGGCTGGACACCTGTTGTCAGCGTAGAAACACATCCAGTTAAACTGAGAGCCTGAGAGCAAACTACGGCTCGAGCAAGCACTAGCCCCGAATGCTGAGCCAAACAACCCAAGTGGCAAGAGTTAACAACAGCCAATGTATAACAGATTTGATCGCTTGGAAACTGTGCGAAGCCCCTGCGGAGCCGCTACGCGTACAGCAAGGTGGAATGTCCCGTTATCTCACGTCCAAACTCGCAGTCCGGTCTTGGCGGAGAGCGCCTGGGCGCCACGTCCGCAGACCTCGCGGCCGAGCCTGGCCCGGCGCGGCCGAGCCCCGCCCGACGCGGCCGAGCCCGGCCCGCGTGGCCGAGCCCGGCCCGGCGCGCCCAAGCCTCGCCCGGGGCGGCCGGCCGTCGGCCCTCTTTCGGGCCGCCTCAGATCTCGGTGGGCGTCAGTTCGCTGCTCTGGCTGTCGATGCTGGCGTCCTCAGTGGCCAGCTCGGCGTCGGCGTCGGCGTCGGCGTCGGCGTCGGCGTCGACGTCAGCGTCCGGCGCCGTGCCGTCCGACATGCCCGAGTCGGCGCCACTCTCGCGGCCATCGGCCTCACCCAGCGCCGCCTCCAGCTGGCGACCGAACGCCGCGTCCGCCGCCACCAGGCGCGCGCGCAGCTGGTCGCGCTGCTCGGCCGTCCACGCGTCGCTCCACTCCTGGAAGAGCTTCACCTGGCACTGGAAGATGGATGGCGGCCGGCCCAGCCGCTCCAAGCCGCCGATCAGACCGTTGACGTAGAGACGTGGTTGTAGCTTCTGCGCCAGCGCCGGCGCGAAGTCCTCGCGCTGCAGGCTGCTCCAGGTGGAGAACCAGTTGGTGACGAAGCTCAACTGCTCTGGCTGGCTGTAGCTGGCCGAGTGTGACGTCATCGTGTCGTGCGCGCGCGGAACTGCGGCATAAACTGCGCGTCGGCGATGTCCAGCAGCTGGAGCAGCCGGTTGCGGGCGGTGTCGCTCCACTGGCTGAACCAGTGTGCTAGCAGGCGTAGCTGGCACTGGAACGTGGAGTGCTCAGAGGAGACTCCGAGCTGGCTGACACCCTGGAGGTACAACAAAACTGCCATACATTGCTCCATGGCAATACACAACCAAAGAATGATAGATAGCTTGCTGCATGACACTTGAAAGTTATATCTGGCAGCTATTTTGTTACAACAATGGTGGATTTAGCATAATTCTTAAATATAGTTCTGTAACACAGTTCACCACAGTTAGGTGTGAAACCAAACAAAATAAATGACACATGACATGCATGTTTGGCAATGTTTTTTATTATGATGATGGTGGACTTGGATTACTTCCAGCACCACCATCATTTTATTGTCCTTCAGATAACCTGCACAAGTTGTGTTTCTTAATCACATGCCACCCGCCTTCTGCAACAAGCAGTGTTTGTCAGATGACTTCTGTCTGCTCTGACCTGAAGGAGAGAATCAACACTGTCTGGGACAGCCTGGAGCACAAGAAAATCCAGCAGCTGCTGTCGACACTCGGGGCTCCAGGCCTTGTACCAGCAGACAACACACTGGATCTGCTCTTCTGCCTGCACCATTCAGTGCTGCCAAATCATGTAGGTTTAGACACAGGGCAGATAAAATGACAAACTTACCTGCACACTACAGCACAGATAAGTCATAACAAATGAACTTATGATGAGTGCAAGCTTTTGAGGGCCCAACCAGATAAATAAATGCGGACCATAGATCCCAATGTTTGGAAAGACCTCAAAACTGAAAGGATCATTTTTGCTAGGATACTGATTTGTGACACTCAGGATGATCATTATCTAAGCACACATGATCTTCAGTCACCCCAGCACAGCAACTTAACTAAGCAGAAATATCCTAATTGCTTGGGCAACTGGCTTCACAGCTTACTTTAAAAGTTACAAGACCACCTCATACAGGGGAAGACTGTATAAGGTGGGCTTCTGACCCAACACTAAGATGCAGACATTGAATAACATGGGCTGAAAAAACATTTTGAGTGAAATATGTATATATCCACAATATTTTCCCATTTCATATTTGTCCCAAACAATCTTACTCAGAAATTGCTGCTAATACTTAACCCTCTACCTTTTGACAATAGTACTTAGTCTAATGGCAGTGTAGAAGTACTTTCAAACACCTATGGCTGTTTTTGAAGTAGTGCTTGTCCTAACCAGAAATGTCCTGTGTCATCCTGTATATCATCCTGTGCATCAGGGCGCCAGTCAAGACCAAATTTTTAAGACTTGCTAGGGACACCAGTGCTTTGACCTCATATGCAGATGGGAACACACAGTGGATACAAGGAGAATGATAACCTTGAACCGAAATTACAGTGAGCTGCAACCCCAGACAGCACACAGCACATGCGTACTGCCAAAACTGGAGAATCAAATCAGGTATTTTAAGGAATTTATTGGCTCATGCTTCAGGCATCCAACATGTGAGCAGCATTACACCTGCAAGCCGGATAGTTGGGTTATTGTTTTCTCACGTGCACCTTGGAGTCCCACCTGATGCGATAAGTGTGGAATATCAATACGCGCTACCCAACAAACAGAACACCCAATAGAGGGGCCCAATGACAGCTAGCAGAGAGCAATTAGAACACGATACCAGGGGCAGTGCCCCACACATGCATATCGAGGGCACTAACACACCAGGGTTAGGAATGCGACGCCGGGGGGCCGCCACCTCGTCGCGCCCGCACGTACGCGGCAACAAGCACATTCGTTGACATGACGAGGCGGCTTGTAATACGAACAAAGCGCTTTTGAGACGATACTCGCAATCAAACATCAGGCTAGCATATTATGTACGCGTTGCATCATAGGGCACGCTAGGGTGCTGCACACAAGTTACAGCAGCTAAACGATCATTAAAAAACAGATTTTCTGCATTTTCTTTTGCGTCCCTTCATTTTTTCATGCCATCGCTGTAACATCCTGCTGGCGCTTGTCCCCTTCCCCCGATCCACGTGAAAACACCGAGGAAATTGGTCATGATAAAAGTGTCAGAACGGATACTTTCGGTGACAAAATATTAAATCACCGTAACTATGATAACAGCCATGAGTTTGTTAACCCCCTTTCCGTAAAGTATCCTACATCCACGCTCACCAATCACGAAACGTTTCGAAAGATTCGTCTCGCTCTGATGCAGCAGTCTGTGCATTATCGACAAAATTGGTAGCATTACTTTACAAAAATATCAAAAATTAGGGCTTGGGTAATTCAACCTGATATGCCCATTTTAATCACTTAAGCTCGATCTTTATTTTCTGGCATAAATCGGTCCCAACGTTTTTGTTCGATAGTGCTACTTGGTCCTCTATCACAAAATGGCGCACGGCTGCTGCCGCAGCTATTAGTGTTATTGTTGTCTCGTATTGGTGGCGCAGCGCGGACAGTGGGTGTTCTTGGAAACAGGATGTGCTGGAGGCTTTGTTTCGAGTCGCTGTGTGGTGACCAGTGCCGCTGATATATCTGTTTTCTTGCTGAATATTAAGGCGAAGAAGATGTCGTCTAGTTCTACGAAATTATTTAGGGGAAGTGTGCGCAGATCCAAAAGAAGATCAGCGAAGCGCCCCCGAACCGTGAACGAAGGTGAGATGGGGAATATGACGAATAACAGCTTTTGATTGTTTGGAGATCACATTCAGGAGCACTTATTGCTGAAAACACTTGTGACTTGCTCAACATGATGGGAAAAAACTGCATGCATCTAAGTTAAATGACTCAAGGCCTTTTGTTTGCAGACAATGCTGACCTAGTTAAAGTTGGCACAGCAAGTTTTTGAGACCATCGCGCTTGTTGTTGTCTACTTGTTGGCCATTTTTCTTTATTTTCTGGTATAGTTTTGTGGAAATTTATGAGATCTTTGGCAAAGATAGGTGGGCAAATATTATACTTCCCAGTGCATCATTTTTTATGCATTCCACGGGCTTGAGTATGCAGAATAATGTTTCAACAGTTGAACCATGCATCTTTATCAGCTATTTAAGGAACATAAGATTGTTTCACAATTTACAACAAGTGCCCTATTTCTGATAATTCAAAATATGGTCAGACATTTTGTGGGAATACAGGGACCCGTGCTCTGCAAACCGTGGCAAGCATGCCAATGAGATGTTTGGGGCAGAGAGAATCCTGTCCTGTAAGAGGGGCTGCATAAGTTGCCACACTTGGACAGATTTGTTAGCCTCACCTTTAAAAAAATAATCACTCAAATTTGGTCAGTTTTTGTTATTTTATCAATTTTATGGGTCTTGATTCAATTTATGGTGCTCTCAAGACTCTGATTAAATCATATCTGCCACAAAAAATTGATGAAATTGCCCAACATAGAAGCTATAACCCAGCTATGACCTGACAAGATGTGATCAAAATTTTCCATGGTCTGCAGCCTGGCTCAGACCCAGACATATATGATTAGCAAGCATGCCCTCATTAATTCACTTTTATGTGCAGAGACATGTTTTTAGGATACTTTTTAGTATGTCTTGTCATAGGTTTATCTTCATAGGAACAGTGGTAGAGTTAGCAGTTACAGACCTGCATATTGTAGAGTCTGGACCTCTAAAAGGGGAGCCTTGCTGCTGTAATGGACCCAAGTAAAACTTTGGCATCAAATTGACCCCACAAGATATACACCTTTATCCAGCTGTGATGCTTTCTGTAGAGGCCAGGACCGTAATTGGATCCATGATTCCAACTGGCTTCAGCACTTGGAATTGGATAACATGCACATGTTATCTTGCAATGCTTGTTATCTTATTATCTTGTTATCTTAATAGCATGCAATGCTTGTGTGCACCTGTCTCAATATGTGAGATGACTGCCTCATGTTGAGTTATACTCAGGCTATTTCTGTCATGTAAAAGCAAAAGGCCGAAGCTCTATTTTGGGTGATGAAGTTAATTATCCAATTTGAAACAGTTTCCAGGACCACATATTGTCAATAAGGACGTGAGTCAAAAAATCTAGATTAGATGATCCAGTGTCTATTTATGAGTGTCACAAGGTGTGATGTCAAAAGAATTGTAATGTGTAGATAATAGATAAACTGGGTAGGCTTACTTTTTGTAAGGAGTTAACCAAAAATACTTTCATTGTCTCTTAAAATGTTTTTGGCTGTAATTGTAGAAAAACATCAAGTAATCATAATGGCAATCCTTTGGGGCATAGTGACTGAATGGTTTGAGTGTTTACTCCTGCATTAGGGCCAACTGGATGGTTTGAGTGTTAACCAAAAATTTAGCCAAAAACCAAAGTTAACCAATGTTTACCAAAAATACTTTCATTGTCTTAAAATATTTTTGGCTGTAATTGTAGAGAAACATCAAGTAATCATAATGGCAATCCTTTGGGGCATAATGACTGAATGGTTTGAGTGTTGACTCCTGCATTAGGGCCAACTGAATGGTTTGAGTGTTGACTCCTGCATTAGGGCTGACTGAATGGTCTGAGTGTTGACTCCTGCATTGTGGCCCTGGATGAAATCCAATGGCCTATGGGTGACATTATGGCCACTGGAGTTGCTAGCACTTAATAAAAGAGAAGTGACAATATATATCACACACCCTTTTTAAAGGCCATCCTTTGTGTTGTCATAGTAGTCATAACTCTGTCATATCTTTTGATGTGTTCAAAGAACTTATATATGGAGAGAACCATGCGTATGTAGAGAGAGGGAGAGATGTACTCATTATTAATGGTCAGCTATCAGCTGTATGTTTGTGGGGGAAGGCAGACCCCCCCCCCCCCCCCCCACCCACCCCTCCCAGTTGTCAAAGATCCTTCCCAGTCATTGAATGTTGACTCACTGGTGGAAGGCATGGTAGCATGCATGAGTGGCATGAAGATGGAGGGGCTGTTGAAGTACTAGCGCATACCTGATGTAGCTGCATGTCTGATAAACCAGGGGTACAATTTGTTGTGCCCAGCAGTGATGGCTCTTCCTGCCATGGTAAGAGAGCAGGTAACATCCCATAGCTTCACCAGCTGAGGGTGTCATAAAGCTCCAATGGCACACTGACACTTTTACCAATAGTTTCATAAATTAAGAGGGGACAATATCATCCAGATCCTCACACACCTGGCCATCAGGCTTGCCTCCCCAGTGGCAGTGCCTGGAAACATGATGTGCCTGCTAATCTGAATGTTGCATAGCCCGTGATGGCCCACTTTCCCATGGCATGTTCACTTCATGCTAAATGGTGGCATTTCAGATTGTTATAATATGGATGATGGGACTAGATTTCAAGGAAAATGACATGGTTGTGTTGCTAGGAACTTTGCTGGTTGCAGTCATTGGTTTTTCATCTCCCCATCACACAACATGTTTGTGCTGTTACATTGCAGATAGTGCTGGAATATTGGCTCAAGCTTCCTTCTGCCTGCTCAGTTTTCTGAAGACTGTTGGCAAAAGTTTTTTGGGGGGCTTTCACTGATCAAGTGAGTGGCAGATTGTTGGGGGGTAAAGGGGCAGATGAGATGGTCTCCCTATTCAAAACTTTGGCAAAATGCAACACTAATGATGAAGCATTGTACCAAAGCTAACTTAAAAACCAAGGTAGATACCCAGCTGTGGTTAGAACTGTGGCCACTGGACCCATTAATGGATCACTTTGTGTCAGTCTTCTGGTGCGCCTTGGTTGGCGTGGTTGCTGCCCTCTTCAGGGTGAGTGGGGCTGGCCATTATCATCTCTTTATTGGGTATCATTGACTGTAATGGGCAGTGCCATGTTAACATGTAGAGGGCACACCTTCAGTCAGGTACCAAGTCAGTGTTTTCCACATGACGGGAGAAATCCCCATCCGAACATGTGGACGCCGCCATATGGTGTCAGCAAAATTGCATTAATGTGCCATGGAAATTGCTACTGCTCTGTGTGGAAGTTCCACCTCTGGCATTGCATGCTAGGACATTTAGGAGGGAGTGTTCCTTTCTTTTAGATTTTGAAGCAAACATCAGATATGATGAAATAAGCCGCCTATGACTAATGGTATAAGTTGATGTGGAAAAGACTATCTACTTGCTACATCAAATGCTGCATGGTGTATGGGATAGTGGGATTTAAATGGTATTGCTTAAGTGGCATGCATGCCTGCAGGGCTTTGAGGTATGCCACACATTTTTGTGGGTGTGTAGCTCTGAAACTAAAGGGTTTGAGGTATTAAAAAGGCAAGGGTTGTGAACAGCGCTGCATGATCTCCAAATTGGCCTGTTGGATCCAAACCCATGCAAATGTGGAGCAATCCCTTCAAAAACTGCTGAAATTGACTTATGTAATTTCTGCTAGTTTGGCAGGCATGCAACTTTTATACTAAATGCTGTATATTCCTGATTTAAGCACGGAAGTCCTTATGCCAAGGTTTTTTTAAGCATGAGTTTGTACAGTAAAAAACTGTCATTCAATGCACCAGGTATTGGTTGCTGTACACAAGGGCCTGGGTGTTTTCACTGATGTTCTTGGCATGTGTGCTTCTACCCTTGTGGTTAGTGTGGCCTGTGGATATGGTTTGGCTCTGCTACCAGTTTCAAGCAGCCTTTATCACAGTATTGTGTTTTGGGATATTGAAGCTTGCATGATATTTTTGGCACCATTGTATTGGCAGAGTGTGCACAGATTGCAAATCTTTATTCCCTTTCATGCACCTTAGTCCTAATCTTAATTTGTGTTTAAGATTTTCACTGATGAGGATGAACACTGCCTTGCAGGTTTTGAGTACTCATGATACATTCATTGTTGATTGTTTGATGCCTCATTTAATTGCTGTGTTCTTATGTAATGGAGGCTAGTGTTTGGTGGGACTCATTATGTCTGATTTGTTTTTAATCTTGTTACAAGACCATATTTTCATCATCTTTCCCCAACAGGATTGCTCATAGTGGCCTTAATCCATTCTTGGACCTTTAAATAGTAGGGTTTTCCATGACTCAGCCTTCTACCACTGAGTAACATACATTCTGCTGTCTCTGCCCTATTTACTGCTCCATACTATTTTTCCAAATTCGATTCAGTATTGCCATGTTGGCAAAACCATAGTGCAAATATTTATTCGCCTTTTGGTTGCAATGCTTTGGTGCGGCGCTTGGTGCAAAGATTTTCTGGCCTGAAAGTCAAGTGGAGATTATAATGGCAGGACACTTGATTTTTGACTATTGATCATCTACATTACAACCTGTCTCTTCCAACATTGTCATTGTAGAAATATTATCGATTTTTGCAAACCAAGGCAAGTACAATTAAAGCAGTGAGCCAGAGCAAGCATGACTGATGCTTCCATTGCATTATGATTATATCAGTTGATATGCTGCATTGGATGGAAACAGAAGCAAAGGACTATGATTAAATCAATTAATATGCTGCATTGGATGACAACAGAAGCAAAGGAATAATGGTTGCAGATAAAAGAGCATGTACCTGGTTGTACTGGGTCTTCTTTAGCAGCAGCACAGTGAGTCACACTGTCTGGGGCCAGACTGGTGTATCTCAAACAAGGGTGGCGGGGTCGAGCAGCTCTTGCTGGAGCCATGAGGGGTGCTGAACATGACCAGCCAGCCCCAAGGTGGTGGGTCGAGCAGCTCTTGCTGGAGCCATCAGGGGTGCTGAACATGACCAGCCAGCCCCAGCCACCAACTCTTCAAGAGCTGGTGTCATGGCGAACTACAGATTGTAGCTTGGTGTCATTTTCGGCGACGAGAAGCAGGTGAAATCTTGTATATTTTCGGGCATTTTGCCTTTTTCAGGCATTTTCGTACGAGCTGTGCGATCAGGATTTTTTCTGTAGTGTGTAGTTGTCTTTGCAGTTCTTGCACTGACACAGTCAGTATTCCAGGAGGGGCTGGTTATGCAATGTTATCAAGCAAGCATCGGCTATATTGTTGGAGCTAGACATTTCAAGCAGCGTTTATGGCCACTAATGCCTTGTCGCGAGTCTAGTTGCCAAGATAACCAATTTTTCCTTGTTGCGTCGTTTACCCAGCACCTTGCCATGAATTGAAGGTTAAATATTTCATGTGTAATTTCATTGATTACGTCGCTTAGTCGCATCTTGCCACATTTTTAAAGTTGGATGTTGTCATATGATGATGAAAAAATTTCAACCGTATCGCCAAAAAACTAGGGCTGGGGGCTTTCTTGCAGATACCTGGCATGCCGCGTTGCACAGAACAAAGCTCTCCTCAGTTTCACGTACGAGGAAGCGTAAAAACTCCTAACCGCGAAAAGCACTTTGCGCGAATGTAGTTTGGCCTGGAGCGAACGTCATGGATCCGCCTGGTTGGGCCAGTTTTACGGGCCAGTGTCAGGCCTCCCCAAACCAAAGTAATTAAAGTCGTGAGGGCAGTGACGCGGTGCACGCTCTACAAAACGCCAAGTGGTCTTAGTGTGGCCGGCCGGCACGCTTTATATTTCATTAAGTATGCTTCCTATTGATATTATAACTATTTTAATAAATATTTCGGTGCTGTCCGCCGGCTTGACGTGCCTGCGGTCGGCCGGAAAGCGGCCAATGGCTGGTTTCCGGTCAAGCTTTGAACGGACCTCGAATGTAATAGTCAGAGGAATTAACTGAGAAACCCTGTATCATGACAGCTACACGGGTGTAGTTCCTGCGCTCTGTGTATGACGTCCCCCTTGTGTTGCTGAGACTACTGTAACGCTTGTGTCGTCGTCGTGAGAGCGGGTCGCTCACTTACATATTCTTAGCTCTAAGCCTTGAAATGGGACACTTCCTGATCATTGGCAACTGGTGCGATCTCGACCACTTCGCCTGCTGAGGCTCCCCGTGATGCTCTTGGCTGACTGTCAACGCTTCAGGCTATTGAGCCAGTTAACACGCAACACGACACGGAAAAGGGAAAACATTTAAAGATGGGTATTGGTTTTATTGGAGCGCAGCGGGCACTGATGGTGTTATGTGTAACCCAACAGTTATTCGATTGACGGGTACAGCGGGTATATTTAGAAAGGGTTTTAATAACATCGAGTTACTGCTCGCATCCCGGCCCAGTATTGGCACAGCCGTAAGTCGGATGAAGATAGGCATTTGACGATTATATCATGCACGGGCACTGCAGCTTGGTTGCCGTGCGGTCCACACTACGATTGTCCCGTCGTGATAGCACAAGTGTCTAAAGCATTTGTTGCGGGCTCCGTTCGCTGTCATGGAGCTGACAGGTGAACAAATTGTTGCTTTGGCGCATCGGCCGGTCGATAGACAGGCGGCACCCACGCCGGTCGGGACACCTGTCCGCTTGCTGGGCCGTCGCAGCCTGGCGGCGGGCAGCGGCCGCTCGCGCCCGAGAGATGGCGCGCTCAGTGGCTGGCGCCGTCGGCAGGCTGCGCGGCTGCGCGGCTCGCGGGCTCGCGGGCCGTCGGCAGGCTGCGCGGCTCGCGGCTCTGCGGCTCGCTGGCCGCCGGCGGCGTCGCGCGCCCGGGTCACGTGCACCGTCCGACCTGAGGCCCGGACGCGCGTACGTTAAGCGATCTGTGTCCCTCACGTGCAGCTGGTCCGTGCGCTCTGCCCTTGTGAGCTCTGTTGGCTTTCTGGGACCCTCGTTACAATGACAGACGATGGCGACTGTGGTACGACGCCCGGCAGTCTGAAGGCGTTGTTTCGCCGCGTGTCATCTACTGCTTCAGGCGTCACGCAAAAAGAGACGGTCAGAAGATCGTTGCATTTCGCCATGGTTTTGGCGTGGACTGCGCGTCTGATCAGTAGCCGTTAACAGCTTGCCTTTTACACTCCGTGTGTCAAGCTTATTTTCCCATTTCTGTTCTGCTTATCCTGCTACACCAGCAGCTACCTCAGTTGCTGCGGCCGCACACAAATATTACCCCGTTGGCTTTTGTTGCCAAGAGTCATCGCCGTGGAACGTTAACGAATACATCGGGAATTGGTTTGCCTTGTGAGAAGTCCATCGCGTTTATCCACATGCGATCACGTGGCCCATCCCATTATTGTGCTGTGAATTGTATATTGCCCTTCGGTGTGCAAGCAGGTGTCATTTTGTCAGTGAACATTCAGAATATGGTGTTGTTGAAAGCTTGGTCGTTGTTTCTTCATACGCGGCTGCACCACCGTAAGTGCACTCAATGGGATATCTGTGGTGGGCTGGCACATTCCAATATTTTTGTTTCATGGTAAACAGATTCCATTGTTGTTTTTTTGCTATATCGCAACTCAAATTATCACTAGCTTACCGCGTTCTGTGAAAATAATTATCAGGTGTCATGTTTCTACAGCGTATTTGATGACTCGTACGGGTGTTACTTGAAAACGATGCCGGGCAGCACTTGCGAACTATCTACCCAGTCAATTAGTCTGTCTCAATGGTTCAGTTGTGTAGAGCACCTGCCTTCCGATCCACCCACCCGTGGCTGGGTGGGTTCGGGTCGCGTTAGGTGCTCAGTATTTGCCCTTGACAGGTATGGCGTACGTATCGATGGCACCGGCCTTGATAAAGGTCAGGTGACGTCAGAGGGCAGGACGGACCGTGCTGACCATTGGGGCACATTAAACTTTCGCTACCAAATTTTGCCGTTGACCTGGAATTGCGCGATCGGAGGGCAGGGGTCAGGGTCCACGCAACAAGCAATGCTTAGCGTGAGCTCCGATCCCGGTAATTCATCCATTCAAAAAGCTCGGATTATATCTGTAAAAATAAATTGGCTGCACAGGGTGGCGACACGAAGCGAGTGTTTGGTCGTTTTACGTTTCAACGTCCATTGGTGCCGTGTGGTGCGGCGCCATCGTTCTGCCGTCAGTTGGCTCTGATTCTCCAACGTTAGCCGCCCACGCGTCCGCTGTCAAAATAGGCTGCCTGCACAGCGCTCTGGCGCGCCGATGGCCGCCTGACCTGGCGGCGCCTCAGCCGCCCGATGGCGTGGCGTGCGCCCCGACTGACAGCGCGCGCGTGTCGGCCGGCAGTGGAGCCGAGCTGCGTGCCGGACCTGGAGGCGCTGCCGTTCCTCTCCATCGGCGAACAGATGATCCTGGACCTGACCAACCCGCTGATGCCGGCGGCGCCCGCCGGCGGCCACCTCGGCCCGTACCGGCTGCGCAACTGCAAGTCGCCGCCGCCGGGGCCCAGCGGCCACCTGGTGGCCTACCCGGGCCGCCGGCAGCCGCGTCACAACTCCACAGACGGTGAGTCCGGCCGGCAGCGCGCTGGGCGCCGGGCCGAGGCGTCGCTGACCAGTGTGCTCGGCTGGGAGTCGTTTTGATGGCGGTCGGGTTGGAGAGGCGCAGAAGCGCCGAAAGCAGACAGGGAGTCAGACGCCGACACGCCGATGTCTACCGAGGGTAGACGGCGGAGCCCGTCGTCTGCCCTCCGTCGGCGCGTCCGCGACGCTCTGTTGGCGTGTCTTCTTATTTCTAAGGGGCATTATGTGCTCAGCTTTATTCGCTCCTTGCTAGTTAAAACATGACACAGCCGTAAGAAGCCGTTATTGGCGCAACATGACCTTCGATATCGACGCGCCCTAAAACCCCAAATCATCATTGTCATCATCATCGGCGTGTCGTGATCGTGTGCACGGGATTGTCGGGAGCCGCGCGGACCGGCGGCGGCCGGTGCGGCGGTGCCGTGCGCTGGCGCGGCGACTGACCCCGTCCCCCGCCGCCGGCAGACGACAGCAGCTACGACCCGACGGGCGAGGACCTGTCCCTGGCCGGCTCGTCGGCGGCAGCCGCCTACCACCTGCGCCACCGCTCCCCCACGCCCGGCCCCAGCGGCGCGTGCACGCCGTCGTGCGGCGCCGCCAGTCGCGACCCCACCCTCCTGCCATACCGCAAGCGACCGCGCAAGGGCTCCATCGCTGACCGTACGTACCGCCGCACGCCGGCGGTGATAGTGGCGGCCGGGGTGTCTTGTTGCTTTGTTGAAGTGTGGGTTTAACTGATGTTGTGCAGCATTGGTCACTTTTGCTGCGGCAGCACAAGCAACTAGATGAAATGCACTTGGCCATAATGTGGCAACATTGTTCCGAATCGCCAAACTTTATAGCGAATTTGTAAAGTCGCGAGTTGACGCACCGGAAGCCATGTAGCTAATTGGGGAGTTGCTGTTCGTCGCAGGTTACTAGACATTTAGGAGCACTGCACCAGCTTGTTTTCGAATGGACATCTATTGTTACGCGTGGCGATTTTCTGTAACTCTTGTCCGCCTTTGTGGGCAATTATTTTTTCGCGCCTGCTCCACGAATACAGCCACCGTCGTACTCTGTCCGCCCCTAAAAGCAGTCATCTCAACTATTTCCTTCGCTTGCCAATGACACGTGTTGTGAGACCTTGCGGACGATCACAGTGGGGTGACCCTACCGCGTGTGCGCGTGGCTTGCAGTGTCGACTGAAGACAGCGTGGCCGCCCAGTATCTGCTGTTCGAGCTGCCGGACGAGGTGCTGGTCACCATATTCTCGTATCTGCGCGAGTTCGACCTGTGTCGGTCGGCGCAGGTGTGCCGGCGATTCTACAAAATCGCCAATGACTTGGGCCTTTGGTGAGTGCGCAGTTGCGTTGCGCTTGCGGAAGCTGTCGTTGAGTTTCCAAGCCCAATATCGTGCATGCCTGTCATCGGGTAAAGCCATTCGTCTTCATTCGATTGGTATCAGGATCTTGGTATATATTGGGTGAAGTTAGAGGTTTGAATGAGCTACGAAAGTGTACTTTTATCCGTGTTTCGTTTGCGACCGACATTACTTTAGACTGTGAGCTGTGGCGACCGTCGCCGCAGAGTTCAGAGTCATGCGGGAGCTGCACAGGTCGGGCGTGTGCCGCTGATCAACGTGGCCTTGGCCCCCTTGCAGGAAAACCCTGTATCAGAACGTGTTCGAGTATGACCGGCCGCTGCTGCACCCGGCGCCGTGCGAGTTTGAGTTCGTCTCAGCCGAGGACAGCGACCTGGAGAACCCCTGGAAGGAGAGCTTCCGCCAGCTGTGCTACGGCGTGCACGTGCGGCCGGGCTGGGAGGAGCGCGAGCCGCCGCCGCCGGCGCCCGGCCGCGCCCGCTCCTCCAACGTGGTGTACATCGAGAGCGTGCAGGCGGCCGTGGAGCACTGCGAGCGGCCGGGCGCGCCTGCCAACCCGCTCGTGTTCGTGCACACGGGCACTTACACCCACCAGACGCTCGTCATCCAGTCGAACGTGCAGCTGGTGGGCGCGGCGGCCGGCGCCGTGGCCGACCAGGTGATCCTGGAGCGCGAGAACGAGTCGACGCTCAAGTTCGGCAGCGGCGCGCGCCAGGCCTACGTCGGCTACGTGACGCTGCGCTTCGTGCCCGACAACAACTCGTCGCACGTGAAGCACTACAGCCTGGAGGTGGTGGCGAACGCGGCGCCGTCGTCTGAGCATTGCTCGCCGGCGGCCGACCAGTGCTCGCCGACCGTGGACCACTGCGTGGTGCGCAGCAGCTCGGTGGTGGGTGCGGCCGTCTGCGTCAGCGGCGGCCGCGCCGAGCCGACAGTGCGCCACTGCGACATCTCCGACTGCGAGAACGTCGGCCTCTACATCACCGACCACGCGCAGGGCGTCTACGAGGACAACGAGATCAGCCGCAACGCGCTGGCCGGCATCTGGGTGAAGAACCACGCCAACCCGGTGATGCGGCGCAACCACATCCACCACGGTCGCGACGTGGGCATCTTCACGTTCAACAACGGACAGGTGAGGCCGCTGTCCGGACGCGGGCTGCCCCCCCCCCCCCCCCCCGGGGGGGGGGGGGGGGACGGGGGCGGGCGCCGCGGCCTGCGTCCGGTGGATAGCGTGCGATGTCGTTTGAGTGTATTTGTGTGTGTTCATACCGCAAGGGTGCTCGCTGCTGCACGAAATGACGCTCCGTGGCGGACGTAACGGTGGCCGGGCTTGATGTTGAAGGCGCCGCGTGCGCGGGGAGCCCCATCCTCGTAGCGGATATTCATTGGTTTTCGGTCACAATGCTACCGATTGCTGAGCATTGCATGTGGAGTGTTCCCGCGAATGAAGCGAGCCTTCCTGTCAATCAAAAAGTCAACTAGTTGCCGAAATATCCGCAAACGGTAGCGCACAACCGTGGGAAGATGACGTAGCCGTGGAGGTCATTATACCTATCCGATATTTTTGATGAAACTTTGCTGACGTCCGGCAGATATGGGCATGCATGTTTGCATCTGTGGATTAACTTCCCGGCAAAAAGTTTCCCCAGACTTGCTGATTGGTGTGCCACATGCCTCGCCGCGAGCCCTATCAATTCACACTGCGTACACCTCTCGCTCCATCCATGCCACGACCCGACCTGCCTCCTCTTCGCGCACCGTTTTGACCGTCTCCGCTCGGCTCCGGCCAGGGCTACTTCGAGGCGAACGACATCCACGCCAACCGGATCGCCGGCTTCGAGGTGAAGGCGGGCGCCAACCCGACGGTGGTGCGCTGCGACATCCACCACGGCCAGACGGGCGGCATCTACGTGCACGAGAACGGGCTCGGCCAGTTCCTCGAGAACCGCATCCACTCGAACGCTTACGCCGGCGTCTGGATCACGGCCAATAGCAACCCGACCATCCGCAAGAACGAGATCTACAACGGCCAGCAGGGCGGCGTGTACATCTTCGGCGACGGCCGCGGACTCATCGAGCACAACAACATTTACGGTACGGGCCGTGGCAGGCGTGTCGTCCATCTGTTTGGTATTTTAAGTGGTTTGTTTAGCGTGATGTGTCGTCGTTGCCAGGCAACCACTACGGTTGGCTGTTTGTGACCGGCGATAGTCTGTATGACAGCTGTTTAATAGTGAGCGCTCTAATTTGGGCAGATGCTCAGGGTTTGCAAGTGCCGATTGTGTCGTGGTGAACGCGTCTGTGTTAACCACTGCTCGTCTGGGAACCTAGATGTACGAGTTCGCTTCCCCGTGGTTCCCCCCCCCCCCCCTTCCCACCAGGGTGAGAGGCAGGTGACGCCATATAACCTCAGCAGCCGAGTGCGGTGTAATCAATGACGCCGAAAAGCAACAGCGCATAAAAATGGTGTACCCAATGACGCTGAAAAGTATGGGTAGAAAGAAACTTTCTTGTTGCTTACTTGGTGATTGATAAATGCAAAATCTCGAAAGCTGGGCGTCCAAACGCGCGTGCCGCCACTCCCCACGGACAATAACGCCTCTTGTGGTGCCAGGTGTAGGCGTGCTTCCCTCACACTGTTATACACACCGACGAGGAATGGTGGCAGGATACCCGGCGCGGTACATGTCGGAGCCGTGTGTGAACGGAGCGGGACCATCCGCCGGTCTTAAAGACGTGTGTCTCTCGTGTTCATGGCCTGGGCGGGGGGCATGTGCCGAGTGGCTGCCCGATCCAGCTACGATTCGGTCGCGCCCGTGCTGTCTCTGTTGCCAGGGAGCTGATTGCCGCCGACGTCCTTGTAACCGTTCTCACCAGCGGGCCAGTGGTGGGATGTACTCCGTCGGCTGCCTTGCTGTACCACGTCTGAGCCCGGTCGCTGCGCGTGCTCAGCGGCAATCATCCCGCCGCCGCCGCCCTTCATCTAACCACACAGCGGACAGCAGGCGCAGGGCACTGCCTCGACTGCAGTGCAGGGCTGCCGCGTCCTCCGAGTGCAGCGTCCTCTGAGCGCCGCGCCCTCCGAGTGCAGCGTCCTCTGAGCGCCGCGCCCTCCGAGTGCCGCGTCCTCCGAGCGCCGCGCCCTCCGAGCGCCGCGCCCTCCGAGCGCCGCGCCCTCCGAGCGCCGCGCCTTCCGAGCGCCGCGTCCTCCGAGTGCCGCGTCCTCTGAGCGCCGCGCCCTCCGAGCGCCGCGTCCTCAGAGTGCCGCGTCCTATGAGCGCCGCGCCTTCCGAGCGCGCGCCCCTCCGAGTGCGGTTCCTCTGAGGCGCCCGCGCCCTTCCGAGCGCCGCGGCCCTCGCATCGCCGGCGTCATCGCGTGTCTCCCCCTCCTGTCGCCAGGCAACCAACTGCCGGCATCCAGATCCGCACCAACAGCCAACCCGATCGTGCGCCACAACCGCATCCACCACGGCGAGCACGGCGGCATCTACGTGCACTAGCGCGGCCAGGGCCTGGTCGAGGAGAATGAGGTGTTCAGCAACAAGCTGGCCGGCGTGTGGATCACCACACGGCAGCGCCCCGGTGCTGCGCCGGAACCGCATCCACTCGGGAAAGCAGGTCAGTGTGCCGCCGCCTCTGGCAGCGAGAGGGAGGGAAGGGGGGGGGGGGGGGGTCCGGGGGTGGTGGGGAGGGCGAGGGCGGTTCGAAGCTGGCGGGGAGGGGAATAGTGGTCTAAAGCTGGCGGGGAGTCGTCCAAAGTCGGCGGGGAGGGAAAAGCTGGTTCAAAGCTGGTGGGGGGGGGGGGGGGGGGGGAGAGTAAGCTCAGAGCTAGCAGGCAGGGTGTGTGTGGCGCTGGTGGTGGCGTTCTCCGCCGACGTGCGGTGCTGCGGCAAGCTGGTCCGTGATTTGAGATTTTTGCGTGCGGTGGTTTTTGTACCAGTGCGTTTCTGGTCTCTGCTCGGACAGGTACACGGACCGTTGCGTGTGACAGCCTCTGCTCTTGGGCGCTCGCGGGACGCGCCGCAGCAGTTTGCGTTGAGGGTCGGTGAGATGAGCGTGGCTTGTGGTGTGCGGGAGGTGACGGGAGCTGCGAACCGTTCTGGTCTGACGCCCCTCCCCCCCCCCCCCCTCTCCCCTCCCCGGCAGGTCGGCGTCTACTTCTACGACAACGGCCACGGGCAGCTGGAGGACAACGAGATCTTCAACCACCTGTACTCGGGCGTGCAGATCCGCACGGGCAGCAACCCCATCATCCGGCGCAACAAGATCTGGGGCGGCCAGAACGGCGGCGTCCTGGTCTACAACTACGGCATCGGCGAGCTGGAGCAGAACGAGATCTTCGACAACGCCATGGCCGGCGTGTGGATCAAGACGGGCAGCAACCCTACGCTGCGCCGCAACAAGATCTACGACGGCCGCGAGGGCGGCATCTGCATCTTCCAGCGCGGCAAGGGTCAGTGCCCCGGCCCGGTCGGAGAGGCTGCCAGTGGCGGGGGGGGGGGGGGGGGGGCGTCGGGTTTTCGGTGCGGTTAGCTTCGGGTTCGGTTGTCGGTTTTAGCTCTCGGTCGTCGAGGTTTCGTCTGGGGCTTCCTTAGGCCCGGGCTAGCAAGGGTTGCAGAGGCACCAGGACTGGCGTTCCAGCCACGTACAACTAGCTGCTGTCACGTTCTTGTTTGCACTTTCTACTTGAGTTGCACTTTATTCTGTCAGTTTTTACCACGCGAGGTTTCCGCCAGTCGCTTTTAACCGGACGAGATCGGCTGTCAGAAGCCGCTTCAGTCGTTACTGCTGACTCAGAGCGGTACACCCGTAGCGTATGAAGGAGTCTCACTTCGGCTACGTACGTTTACCTCATTACGTTCGAAGATAAGAATCGGATCACTGGGGCGCAATGATGCTCTTTGTTTCGCTTTTTTGGCTGTTTCATTTCAGCTGCGTCACTTTGTGGACGTGACTGGAGACTGGTGAGGTAATCGGCTTGAGACAACACGGTAGAACATCGCTGCCTGTGACGCGGCCCCCACTGAGCGCGGCCTCGTGCGCTCCGCTGACGCCAGGCCCGTCCGTTCGGCAGGCGTCCTGGAGGAGAACGAGATCTTCCGGAACGTGCAGGCGGGCGTGCTGGTGTCCAACGACTCGCACCCGATCCTGCGGCGCAACCTCATCTTCGACGGCATGGCCGCCGGCATCGAGATCACCAACCGCGCCACGGCCACGCTCGAGCAGAACAAGATCTTCAACAACCGCTTCGGTGGCCTCTGCCTAGCCACGGGCGTCACGCCCACCATGAAAGGTGCGCTGCGGGAGGCGGTGCCCGGTCGGATGGGGTCGGGCTGGGGGCGAGGGGGGCGGGAAACGGCCGGTGGGGTATGTGCGCGGTGAGTTCCAATTGTGACGACCAGTTGCTGGGGTGTGCGGTGGGGTGGTCGTCGATTGGTGGGCTGGATTCGCTGGGCGCTGTCTGCCATATGGCCTCAGGAGCTGAGTGAGTCGTAAAGCCCGATATTCACGGGCGTTGTCTGTCATAATGGGCCTGGATTGCGAAAGGTTTTACATGGCCGCGAGCGTTTAGGATTTTTGAAAGGTCCCGCGTTTTGGATGGCGGCCGGTTCTGCTGCCAGCGGGGTGACGTCACTTGAGGGAGCTTCAGCCACGGGAAGGTGGCAGCCTTCATATGGGCGGTGCCCTCTCGTATCAGTCATGAGTTCACGACTGCCTGACGGAACAAAAGCTGTTTGTTTGACGGCGCTGTTCGGTTACCAGAAGCTGTCGCCACGTAGCTGAGAACCGTTCGAACGTCGTACAGGTAAAGTTTGAACGGGGATGTGATGCCGGTGAACCGAGGTGTCCATAATGACAATTTGGGTTACATTCGGGGACCTATTGAAGGTCACGGAATAGTCGGACGAAGCTCTGCGGCGGAAGCCTCAGGCACTGACGCCATGTTCACCCCCTCCGCAGGCAACAAGATCTTCGACAACCAGAACATGGTGGAGAAGGCGATCGAGGCGGGCCAGTGCCTGTACAAGATCTCCAGCAACACCTCCTTCCCGATGCACGACTTCTACCGGTGCAAAACGTGCAACACCACCGACAAGAACGCCATCTGCGTCAACTGCATCAAGATATGCCACGCCGGCCACAGTGTGGAGTACATCCGACACGACAGGTGAGCCGCGCGCCCCGCGCCCCGCGCCTCACCGCCGCCTCTTGTGGCGGCGAGCGGGCCGAGGACAGTCCCCTGTGGCGGGTGGGCCGGCTACAGCCCCCTGTGGTGGGTGGGTCGTGGACAGTCCCCTGTGGCGGGTGGGCCGGCTACAGCCCCCTGTGGCGGGTGGGCCGGCTACAGTCCCCTGTGGTGGGTGGGCCGGCTACAGCCCCCTGTGGTGGGTGGGCCGGCTACAGCCCCCTGTGGCGGTTGGGTCGTGGACAGCCCCCTGTGGGTGGTGGGTCATGGACAGCCCCCCTGTGGTGGGTGGGCCGGCTACAGCCCCCTGTGGCGGGTGGGCCGGCTACAGCCCCCTGTGGTGGGTGGGTCGTGGACAGCCCCCTGTGGTGGGTGGGCCGGCTACAGCCCCCTGTGGTGGGTGGGCCGGCTACAAGCCCCCTGTGGTGGTGGGCCGGCTACAGCCTCCTGTGGCGGATGGGTCATGGACAGCCCCCTGTGGCGGGTGGGCCGGCTACAGCCTCTGTGGTGGGTGGGCCGGCTACAGCCCCCTGTGGCTGGTGGGCCGGGGACAGCCCCCTGTGGCGGGTGGGCCGGCTACAGCCTCTGTGGTGGGCGGGCCGGCGACAGCCCCCTGTGGCTGGTGGGCCGGGGACAGCCCCCTGCGGCTGGTGGGCCGGGGACAGCCCCCTGTGGTGGGCGGGCCGGCGACAGCCCCCTGTGGCTGGTGGGCCGGGGACAGCCCCCTGTGGCGGGTGGGCCGGCTACAGCCCCCTGTGGTGGGCGGGCCGGCGACAGCCCCCTGTGGCTGGTGGGCCGGGGACAGCCCCCTGCGGCGGGTGGGCCGGTTGGTTCAGGGACAGCTCCCTGTGGCTGCTGTGTCGTCTGGCTGGTGGGGTGCCAGCCTTAGGTCAGCTGACCTAGGTCACTGGACTCGGATCGGAGACCTTGCCCCGCCGCGAGAAGCCGACCCAACGCCGTGTGGCTGGCTCGTGATGTGTGTGTATGTGTGTGGGTGGCGAAGCTTTGTACCGCCTAGTAACACGTATGGGAGACATTTCGCTCCCTGCACGGCGTAGTGTACATGTTGATTTTCAGGTGCTGAGTTGTGTGCCTTGTTTCGAGCCTTGGTGTGTCAAAAAAAACTTCAATTGAATCTGTGGTAATGTGTCCTTGGTCAGAAGGGTAGCTGCTTGCCTTGGCCATGCTTGTTGCCTTCGATGTTGAATTTGCTCATTCTACGTTTTATTTTGTACGAATCGTTCGTAACTCTAAAAAGAAGCCCTTCGTTTCGCAATGTACTTCAGCGTCGCTTGTCAACTAATAGGTGTTGGAGGAATTTCAGCTCCTGCTGCATTGCTGCGCAGACGTGGCTAGGTGACATCCTTTGGAGTGTCATTGCTGCGTGCCCTTAAGCTGTAGGAAGAAGTTCGTTTGCGTTGTTCCGCTGCCCACCAGTGGAGCGAGCGCTGTCCCAGCACCCCCACGTGTCTGGTGTGTGAGCGGCGCGACCGGTGCCGACAGATTCTTCTGCGACTGCGGCGCGCGCGGTCTGCGGAACCCGTGCCACCTGCAGGGCGAGCCGACGCAGGACTCGGACACGCTGTACGACTCGGCGCAGCCCATCGAGTCGCACACGCTGAAATACAACTAGCCGGCGGTGGGGCGGCAGTGATATCGCGGAGCGACGGTGGCGCCGCGGCGCGGCCGCCATGGGCACCAGCCCCGGACGGCAGTGCGCCCGGCCCGCCGCCAGTGATGGAAAGCTATATGGATATTTGACTTGCGACCGGTGCAGAGCGGACGCGAACATTTAGGTCTTCGAATGGAGTGGACAGGAGGGAAGTGCGGGCAGCAGTGCGTGTGCGTGAGCGTGCGAGAGTGCGTGCATCTTCGTCAACCGACAGACCGACAGATTGACACCCAGCGCTAGCCGAACCAGTGCTTCCATGTGTTCTGTGCAGTGCTTTTCGGCGACGGCGGCGGCCGGCCCCGGTTCGGTTTGCGCGGTCGCGGCGGTGGCGAGCCGCGTCGTCGGCCGTCCCCTATGACAGGATACTAGTCAGCGAGCCGGCGGCGCTGGACGGCGACGGCTGGGCTCGCATTTCGCCGCCGCCCCGCCCCGTCCTGCTCTGCTCTGCTCTGCTCTGCTCTGCCCTGCCCTCCTCTGCCCTGCTCGGCTCCGCTATGTGATCGTGTGCAGGGTCGGCCGCGCGCCGGCCCGCTCCCGCGTCGACGCCCGGTGCGCGGGCTGCTGGCACTGCGGCCGGCGCCGGGGGCGAGCCCGCGCTGGGCGTTGGCGCTGGCGACGGCGCGCCGCTGGCCCGGGCGCCGGCCGGCGCGCTCGGCGCCCCGACCCAGAGGCCAGCACGCCGGGGCGCCGCCCCGCCCGGCCGGCCCGTGTGAGAGCGAGTGTGCGCGTGCGTTTTGTGCGACAACGGACAGGCGGCCCAGCACGGTCTGGGCGGCCCATTGCGATCGCGCTGCCGCCGACGGCGTGGTCCTGACCGGGGGACCCGGTGGCGGACTTCGCAGAGGTCTGCCGGTGGCGAGCGTGCCGGCAGTGTATCCGCGGGGCGGGCTCGACGTCACGGTCCGAATCATGTGGGCGGCGCCGGCCGTGGCGCGCGCGCCGTCTGCAGCCGCTGAGAGCGGCCAGCGGCGAATCCGGTGCGGTCTCCCCTCGCGGTGGGCCCCGCCGACCCGACGTCGGCCGTCGTGGACGCCACTTCGACCCGGCGCCAGCTTCGGTTGGTCCGGCGTAGAATCCGGCCCGTGCTAGGTCTGGCTCCTCCATTCCGACGCGTTGGCGCAGGGTCGGCGCGGACGCGGCGCCGTGGCACTCGCACACTATTCGTATGTGATAAGTGGGATGCCGGCGGCTCGGCTCTGTCGCGGGAAGGCATGGCGCTCGCCGTTGGCCTGTGATCGTCGCCTCGCCGCGGCTGGTAGACCGCCCGATGCTGGCATTAGGCAGCGGATCCTCTGTGGTCGCAACCGTCTGCTCGCCATGCTGGATTTGCCAGTTCGGCTGCTTCGTTTTAAAGGACGGCGAGCGTGGCAGGCCGCCACTGACGTGAGTGCTGGAGTTGAATACCATTTGCTGTGGGCGGTCGTTGGTGGAAAGAATCTATTGTTGATTTAAACACAATCATGAAATGGGCGATTGTTCTGGCCTACAGCGTAGTCCCTGGTGTACACGCAAGGCGGTACTACTTTGTTTGACTATTTCTTTCACAGATGAGCGGCGCATCGTGTTGGAAACAAATTCGCACTCCGGCGTAGGCCAAGACCGTTGTGCTGAACGTTGTGTTGCCCGTGGTCTGCCAGACCCGCCCCATGATTCCACTATTCTTCAGCATCTCGAAACGTGCTCAATCGAGTTCCGCGTCGGCCCAGAAATCCGCGCATTTAATGGTTGCAAAGTGGAACCGTACTTTTAAGTGAACGAAGCTCGGCGTCACCGGCCAAGTCCCCTCTAACGCGATGTGTGAGTAGTTGCCGGTGCCACGACGGTGACGCGTCGGACGCGCCCGAGCCCAGAATCCGCCGTTGCCACCGGCTAGTGCCGTGCGCGTGTTCGCTGCGTTTCTGTACGGTGTGCGCGCTCCCGGACCCGGCCCGCCGCCGCGTGCTCTCCCGTCTGCAGCTCGCCGCCCGCAGCCGGCTGGCGAGGACTGACGCGGCGCCGTCGCCCCGCGCCTCATCGCTGGCGCAGGCGGCCTGCTCGAGCCGGTGGGGGTGGGAACTAACTCGATGTGTGTTGTAATGCAACCGCTATCGATATCGATACGAAATATAAATCTTTAAGTGCGACTGTGTGTGTAAGGCGCCTGTCGTGCGTGGTCGAAGTCATCTGTATCCGAATCAGTCGAGAAGTGTCAGCGTGCAGGAGTGCCAGTGTGCACCGGCATGAGGGCATAGTACACCTGCACTGCCTTTTGTGCATCGCCCGTCAGTCATGCGAGTCTAAGACCGTTTAAAGTCGGTAGCCTGGGGAACATGTCGGCCGTTCACACTGAGTGATACCGTATGCCCGTGTTGGTCTCAGTAGGCGCGTGACAAATTGGACAGGTGCCTGCGGTCGCCGTCAGCACAGCCGCCTCACTTCTCATCCACCCGCGCTACTGATGAATAACAGGCAGAGAGTGTAGAAAGACGGACGTATGTCCTCCAGAGACGGTGGACCCAAACTGGCCGCGCGTTTCCAGACGACCGGCAGCGGCCGGCCGGCCACGCCCCGACCCCGCGGCGACGCCGGCCTCGGCCCGATGTGGCTGTTTGGCCGTCCACCGGCCGGCGGCGGCCGTTCCCGTCCGACGCGCCGCCGGCCGCCGCCGGCGGAACGACGTTGTTTTCCCGCGCCGCCCTTTGTTCTCCGTCGGCGCGACGCTGTCGCCGCCACGCTGACGAGCGTCGGGGCAGCGGCGATGGTTTTAGATAGGCGCCCGCGCCGGCCGGCGGTCTGTTATAGTTGGAGCGCTCGCTTCACGTGCGTCTGTGTCGGATGCAATGGGCGAAGCGCATCGCATGTGTGCGGAGCGTGCACATCGCCCGCTGGCGAGAGGTGGTCGCGAAAACTGACGGAAGCTTCGAGCAACCCGTCGAATGCGGAGAAATCGTCACCGATCAGTCACGCAGCACGAGCTCAAAGATTCCCACCTCAGGGCGCTCTTCCAATGCGTTTTTTGTTTATTTTAAGTTTCTTTTTTTGTTTATTTTGCTTATTTTAAGTGAAAGTTTCCATGCGTTTTATGGGTTTTAAGCCATATGGCAAATTATTGTTTCCACTTCAGCCTCTCTGCCTAAAATGATCTACCTTGACTCAAAATTGAACTAAAATCATTTGATACGGTGTACAGCGGATGTCTTGCGAACGTCAGTTTTCCCCAGACTCCACGCTCCGCATTGTGTATCAGAGTACCCAGCTCACTGCGGGAGGGCCGGTGGCTGCATTTTCGCCAAATCCCTATCAATTTCCTGCCGTCCAATAGCACGAGCTACCGAGAGCCCGTAACGGAGCCGCTTCAATTTGGCGGTAAGGAATGTGGAACCGTTTCGCTGCACTTTTCCATTCCTCCCCCGGGCATTCTTTGAGGTTCCATTTCCACTAATGGCCTATAATCCCGAGAAAGTCCAAACAAAGCTGGCTACATGTCGGCCGACGCTGGCGTTTTTTGTCCATTTTTCAGGAGGCCCGTGACAAATTGACGGAGGCACTCCCCGCCGGCCTCCATCTGGCTGCGCTATTGCCGTAATGACGGCATCTATTCGCCCCGATCACCACCGATATTGTCGCCGCAAAAGAGTCGGGGATTTTTGCCATTCATGCCTTGCGATGAGATCAGCAAAACTCGAACGTGCTAGAACGTCGACGCCATTCGGAACGACGCTTGACTATGGTGCTTTTTACGCTGGCACGGTGGAAATAACCTTGGTGCACATAACGGTAATATCCCTAGATATGCTTGCTTTACCAGCAATTCAGTTTATGCTAAAAAAAGACCTTCTTGTCCAGTGACTCAAAATCATCCTGTTCTCAATTTTGGGCAATGTCCATAAGCGTCATGAAAGAAAATGGTCCGATTTTATTTTTACGACGCCGGACCTATGAACGATGATCTAAGCTGGCAAATGCATGTGCATTCTAGACCTTAGTTTCGAACCTTCTGAGGAACTTCCCCAGCTGTGTTTGCTCTAATGAACATCATATGTGTTATAATATGTATTATATGATCCACGATAAGCATAACGGCCCGAATGTCCAGCCCGGCTACGGTCTATTTCGGTGACGCCCGACTACTCCTTGGTCTCAAAATACGAATCGTGTTTTCATCTCAAATATCTCCACTTGTTTTTTGCTCGTGGAGGCACGGATTTACATAAAGACTTGGGGTCCACTGACCAAAAGCCATAAAACTTGTGGCCGACAAATCGTTCCTTTGCAGGATGAATGAAGGTTCTTTGTCTGGATAAGGCCATCGTATGTCCCCCAGGCTAAGTACGGTGGCCGGATATAGAAGATGCACCGATACGCAGGGGAACAGGAGGGTCCATAGTGTGGGACATTCATAACTGTCGCAGCTGCCAGAGGGTGGCGGCGATAGAAAGTTGAGAAGCTGGTTTAAAGCCTGACCCTCACCCTTTCATGTGGCTGGTATATGCCGATTGACTTAGTCCTTCCCCAAGGTGACGTTAGCGAAGATTGTGCTACACGTCATGCTGATCAATAGAAATGTGCCGCAACTTGTCCAGTGCGCGAGGGCCGTCCTCTTGTTCCGATTCTGCTCGTAGCACCTTGGTGGTGGGGTTTTCATATACATGCAATGGATATGTGGTCAGCTGGGACAATTTTGACGGTGTTGTGATAGATAAGTTTTTACCATTACGTATATATATATATATATATATATATATATATATATATATATGACCAGAGAAAGTCGCAGAGAACACCTTAGCGCTCTATACATGCTAAAATCTAAGTCGAAAACAAACATACAGAGACATGTGTAAGTCAACAGGCTATATATGTGCTCTACCGGCAGAACGAAGCTCTCGCTCACCAACCAACTACAACAGATTTCGTGTCGCTTATGTTTGTGCACATGATAGGGAAGATGTCAGGGTGTGCTACCAACATGAACATGTGCTTGCTTGGCTATCCCTAGGAATTACATTTTGGGTCGCTGAAACTGCAACCATTTCAGGATGAAGCCGGTGTTTTGTTTTTAAGTTTTATTGCAATCAAAGAACAGACTCCCAGCAAGCATGAAAGCAAAGACCATACTTCGCCCGAAGGTTGAAAACCTGTGCAGCTTTAAGAAATTGGAGCAGGAGTTTGCGGAAAACCTCCCAAAGGATACAAAAATTTTATCCCATTCCATATGTTGACATTACCTCAACGCAGGTTGAGGCCAGAGGCCTGTCATGAACCAGATGAGGCGTGCAGTCGCGTTCCTTCAGCTCAGCTGATCATCCGGATTTGGGCCATGCACACCAACACCATCAACGTCAGTTCCTGACAACCCCGGATGTGCTCCTCGCTGGGCGAACAAGTGCAAATTCTCGGCCAATGCGCTGCGTGCTGTGTCAAGCGGCATCGAAGAAGAGCCGACGTTTTGGACGGTGCGGCCAATGCTTTTTTTAGTTTTCATCAGTTACTCTTTTTCAAGTTTCCATTATATTACACCACTCGCAACCTCACAAATGTGAACCGCACCGCACTAGCGCATGGTGCAAGCCACCTGCAT